GCTCCTTGTTGAAACAAAAGTTAGCTCGTGACTCTCGCAGGTCTTTAAGCTGCATTAGTAACTTGTGAATGTGCATTGGGGATGGTAAGGGGGGCTACAGAAGAGCAGGGGGTAGGAAGAAAGTATGAAACTCCCCAGCAGTTTTGGATAGGGCTGAGAGGAGTGAAGGAAAGCATGTGTTGTGAAGACTAGCTCTCTGATGGGCATGATTTTTGCCTTGTCAGCATTCTTATGCAGGTGGGAAGTCTCACCAGGGCTTTGGAGGGTCCTTTCTGGCATTTGTACTGGCCTGGGAAGGGACATCACTGCCTTTTCCAGACTCGGGTGTAAGTCCAGGATGATATGGCTAACTGGAGTTTTCTTCTGTTGCAGCATCCAGCCTTGCCCAGATGTGAAATATGGCAAACGTATCCATGTGCTGCCAATTGATGACACGGTAGAAGGGATAACAGGGAATCTGTTTGAGGTCTATCTCAAGCCGTACTTCCTGGAAGCATACAGACCCATCAGGAAAGGTAATAGCACCTGTTATTGAAGTCCTGATGGCAGCAAGTGTGAGCTAGTCCTGAGACTGAATAAAGAGAATTTCTAGAAGCTTGCACAGATCTCCACAAAGCATTAGACTGACATCTGTAGAGTGAGATTTTGCTGGTGCTGATTTAATTTTTTTCCTAATCTTCAGAAGAAAGGGTGATATCTTGCTGGTTGGCAGAGCAGCTTGATAGTTCTCCTGTGGTTTTTTGCTATATGGGATGGGAGAGCATCAGAAAAGGCTCAGGTAGAACCCAGTTTAATGAGATTTTCTCCTGAGTTGCTACCACTTGATGGGATTGGGGAGTTGCCCGCATATTAATCAGTTGGTTGGATATACTAGCTGGCACCCTGACTAAATTCACTTTTTCAAAGTAATTTAATTAATAACTGGGAGAGTGCATAAAACACAAATATACTTTTAGAGTTGTGCTAGTAGCACTTCTGCTGGAACAAATAGGTCCTAATACAGTATAAACACAAGTTGAAGTTATCCAGCTTTTGTAGCCCAGTTTAGCCAGGAGTCATAGTGCAGTATTATATATTATTCTGCTTCTGGAGACAACCAGTTATAACTAGTAACAACTAGTTATAACAACTTCAAAATGAATTTTTATTAAGTTAGGGCTTTTTGCCTGTTTTAGAAATGTTAAATTGAAACTGAATGGAAAAGAAATGTGATTCTTTGCCTTTGTGTTTTGTATTTAGGCAGAGTATTCTTTTCTGTTGTTTGCTGGTTTTGTTTGCTGTTTGTTTCTGGATGAAATTGGAGAACTTCAACTGCTACAGATCTAAATGGTGCTTGGGTAGTCACAGTACATGCAGCTCTTGAGTTTAAAATGCAGAGCAGTGTTAAAAATGCCAGCAGTGTATGCCTATGTAACCCACTTTCTTGTCCTCTGGGGCTGCTGGTAGTACAAGGGTTGACATTTTGCAGACATCTGTTGCAGCAGGCTACTGAAATGTGGGGTTTTACAGGTGACATCTTCTTGGTGCGTGGAGGGATGCGTGCAGTGGAGTTCAAAGTGGTGGAGACAGATCCAAGTCCTTACTGCATAGTGGCTCCGGACACAGTGATCCATTGTGAAGGAGAGCCCATCAAACGAGAGGTGAGCAGAATCCTGCCATGCGGTTCTACTGAATCCCCTCTGTCCAAAATCTGTTTTGGTGACAGTCCTTAAGAGCAAGCAGTGTTTGCAGTTCCTGTTTTGACATTTTGTGTATTGAATGTAATGATTAAAACCTCTGGTTTCAGGAGATGAGCTGCTGCTGAAGGTAGTCAGAAAAATGTGCTTCCAGTATCCTTCCTCAGATGCTGAGATAGCACCAATGCTTAGGTTTGCTGATGAGGTGCCATACTTTGGCAGCAGCTGTTTTTGCATCTGCTTCCGGATATCTCATGCTGGACTTAGATGCATCTTTTAATTCCAAAGTTCCCTTGATCCATAGCAGGGAGGGCTTACAATGTTGCTAAATTTCATGCCACATGAAAAGAAAGCAATTAGTGCTTTTTCAGTGAGAAATTTGAAATCTCTAAATGGTTGAATTTTTTTTTTTTTTAATTATTATTTTTTTGTTCCCCAGTCCCTTAAGGTATCTAGCCTTGAGCGTCCCAAGCTTGAGGCAGCCTGAGTGGATTGCCTGTCAGGTCTTGGCCACCTTACTGTTACAGAGTAGGAAATCTCAGAGAAATGAGCTAAGATGGTTGTATACTTCATAAAGTAAGTGCCTTTTTACTATCTGCAAATCAGGGTGAGTGCTGGTTTGTAGTTAGCTGCCTTCTGAAAAATTCACCTCTATTTGACACTTGTGAGACTCTGTCTGGGCACTGGATGAGTCCAGTTTGGGCTCTTCAGGATACAGCAGAGACAGGTAGGAGCAAGTTCAGCCAAGGCCACCAAAATGATGAGGAGCTGGAGGTCAGAATGAATGAAGAGCAGCTGGGAGAGTGGGTTGATGTAGCATGGAGAAGGGAAGGCAAAGAGGCAGGCTTGCTGGCAACTGCCTGATGGGAAGGGGTGGATAACCAGGTTCTTCTGAGAGCTGCGCCCAGGGACAGGACTAGAGGCAATGGCACAAGCTGGATCAAGGGAAATTCCCAATAGATATTAGGAAAAAGGTTTCCCCAAACCCTGGAGCAAGGCTCGGAGAGGGCAGAAATCTCCAGACCTGGAGACCTTCAGTGCTTGAAGTTCCTGTTTGTAGGGCTTGGACTGAGCCCCTCTGAGATTCCAGGCTGTGTTATGTTATTATTTTAGTGTGGCCTAATGTTACAGATAACTAAGGCCAGTAGAGATTTGGACAGCCAAATGAATGGATGCTGTAGAGCTATACTGAAAGAGTTGGTTACAGTTGGTCTTATCTGCACATCTGGATCTTAACATTCTCTGTTAATTTGAGTTAATCCCAAAAGAAAACACTATATTGGAGAACTGTATGGTAGCTAGGGTATGTCAAGTAGTTAGAAATATCACTTACAGTTTAAGGAATAAGTATATTTTATACTGGGCTTCATTGTTTATTGTTATCTTTGTTAGCCACATCAGAGGGTCACACAACTTGTTTTGCGCTAGAGTCTGTAGGGGTCCTGGCAGCAGAGGCTGTCATTCAAGAGGGTGGGCTTCAGTGATGTCTAGGTATGTACAGGCATTTCCCTTTGCATGTCTGGGAAGAGAGAGCTAACAATTGTAGAAGACACCAGGAAGACTTGAAAGTGAGAGCCTTAAGACAGCAGAAAATGGCAACGAGCAAAAACCTGGATTCCTGGGTTCTGTAGACCGGGAGGGATTGTTGAACTATTGTTTTCACTCAAATGTTTAATGTATTTCCTTTTGGGTAGGATGAAGAAGAGTCACTGAATGAAGTGGGTTATGATGACATTGGTGGCTGCCGGAAGCAGCTGGCTCAAATCAAGGAGATGGTGGAACTTCCCCTCCGACACCCTGCGCTCTTCAAGGCCATAGGAGTGAAGGTAAGTCTCCGAGTGCACCAGGTGGATGAGTGGGCTTGCCCTTGCGGATGACTCTTGATGTCGGAGGTTTATGAGGTATTGGGAGGGGAATAAATAATTTGTGGGTTTTTTTTTTTTTTAATGCTGGTGTTAAGAAAGTATTTCCTTACATGTTTTGGACACAGATTAAAGTATTGGCAACTTGCAAAGCAGGAGGATGCTTTGAATCAGCACTGTCAGTTACTGGCAAGGTTTTTGTTTGTGTGTCATGCAAAGTAGTAAGGGTGTTGATAGCAATGCTGGAATGGCAGCTGTTGCATGAGTTTGCATCACAACTTCAGACTGGCTTTATCAAATGCTTACAGCTTCACTGTGAAGCTACTTAGGCATTCGGTTACTAGCTCACCACCTAAGTCCCTTGCCTTTGTCCTCAGCCTCCACGTGGGATCCTGCTGTATGGTCCTCCTGGCACTGGTAAAACACTGATTGCCCGAGCGGTGGCCAACGAAACGGGGGCTTTCTTCTTCCTGATCAACGGTAAGTTTTGTGGCTGTTTTGGCCCCAGGTCTGCTGTGTGCTCATTCATCCATCTTATGGTAATGAATGGTGTTAATAGGGCTTGTAGAGCCACACTATCTGCCTGCCATCCTTCCCTGCCTCCTTCAAGTGTGCCTCTGGGGACAGTTGGAGGCCATTTGCATGGAAGCATCTGTAGTGGCACTTCCATTAAGCTTGATTGTGTTGTAGCAGGGTGGTTGGAAGCCAGCTTTGCAACACAGGGACTTGGAGTCTGTCTGGTTGCCCCCCACCCCCACCCCCCCAAGTAAAGCACAAGACCTGTTCTGTTTCACATAACATTAACTGAGAGGAACTGTCCTGAAGTTATAACGAGTACCTTGGAACTTAGCTACAAGTGACAGAACCTCCTATTGATCACTCTTTACCTGTAGCAGTTGAGATGGATACTGGTTTATGGACCAGATTTTCCTCACTGTTCTTCTGTCCCATTTTAGAGTCAGTGCTGGAATAACTGAACGTTTGTACTTAAGGAGTGCTGCTTTTCTTTTCTGATTTCAATCACTTAGACCCATGAAGGTGAAAGCAAAGGAGTGAGTGTATAGCACAGCATAGCAGTGAGCAGCAGTAGGGAAGTGACTTGCTTTGTATCTCAAGATATCAGCTGTAAATTGACTGTTTTTAACTATATGTCACCCTTGTCATATACTTCCTAAGTGTACGGAAGGTGTCACTGCATGCTAATAAGCCAGACGTTTCTTTAGACACTTGTACTTCTATTGCGTAATAAAAATAACATTGTCAGAATTAGTGATGCATTCTCTGTCTGCTAGTCCCAAGCCTGGAGCTGCAGGCAGTGTTGTAGACAGAGCTGGTATGAATTGGTGAGTTACTTGTAATGAAACACTCTTAGTACCTGCCTGCACCAGTGGCTCTGCAGCTGGTGCACTTCAGTCAGCTAGCAGCTTTGCACTCCTGAGGGTCAGGTTTCTTTTTCTTGGATCTCTTAGAAGCATACTTTTCTCTTCATTACCACTCCCATCAGCATGATGGAAAAATCTGTAAAAACAGAATAAATTTGTGAGCCTGCGCTAGCGTTCAGCAATTGTAGGAGATCTCAGGGGAATGCTGTCCTTCCTTCTGGGATTGATGTGCTTACACATTTATTTATTTATTCTTTGAGAGGAGATAGATTTTGGGTTGTTGGTGTTTTGGTGGTGTTTTTGTTTTGTTTTGTTTTTTGGAACTCATTTATAGGATCTTACAGAGGTAAATGTATACCTGTGTAATGCAAGCTAAAGACAGCTTCAATATCTTACAGCTTTTTCCTTCCCTACCCTGATAATTCATCACCATATAATTTGATTGCTTCTCTTGCAAGCTAGGACTGGCATTAACTGTGTGTGGTGGCACATTACAGAGAAGCTCACCAAATGTGAAATAGGGTAAGGAAAGAGGCGGCTAAAGGTAGCTCATTGACTAATGCTGCATTCTGTTAGAGTAAACTGAAAACACCAGAATAATGATAGAAAGTAATTCTGCATGCTGTTCTTGCCTGTTCAGCTGCAAATTTAATGAACTTGGTTGCTTTGGCATGAAATATAGATACTCCCATGTGAACGTTGTACTAAAAGAATTCAGCTGCATGCCTTGGGGCTAGCTGCCTCTCTTTTGGGTGCCACAGTGCCATTATTTTTTCAGGTCCTGAGATCATGAGCAAGCTGGCTGGTGAGTCTGAGAGCAACCTGAGGAAAGCCTTTGAAGAAGCAGAGAAGAATGCTCCTGCCATCATCTTCATTGATGAACTGGATGCCATTGCTCCTAAGAGAGAGAAGGTAAAGAAAGCCTGTAGAAGGTAAAGGAGTACATCTTTTTTTTGGTAGCAGCTGGTGTGAATATCTGCATTTGACTACAGGGTAAAGCAGTATTTAACTTAATGCTTGAATTCAGTTGGATGTCAGAAGTTGGATATTAGAAGAATCCAATATAGTTCACGATGTTTCTTAACAGCTCGCATCTGTTGTATCTGTCTGCTCTGGTGCAGTACTAGCTCCTGTGCTGTGTTGTAGAGCTTTTGGTCTAATCATTACTTTCTCTCTCCATAGACACATGGAGAGGTGGAACGTCGCATAGTGTCTCAGCTGTTGACTCTTATGGATGGACTGAAACAGAGAGCACATGTGATCGTTATGGCAGCTACCAACAGACCTAACAGCATTGACCCAGCACTCAGGCGATTTGGTAACCATGATTGCTATCTTTTTGTGTGTGTGTGTGTGTGTGTATCAGATATTTTGTTATGGGCTATGCTTCAGGGGCCTTGGAAAGATTGAGCAGAAATTAATATTAGACATCTGTGTGTTACATAAACTATTGACTTGTCTCCAGCTACTTGTTTGAAATTTATTTCTAGGCTTCCAGCCTTTGGTATCACTTTCTGTGCTTTGTTAGGTTAGAACTTGTAGAAATAATGAAATACTTAAAGGGTAGCACGCTTTTTCACTTCATCAGTTAGGTGAGGCTATTTCAGGACTAAACACTTAAGGGGTTGTTCATGCCTCAGGTTGCAGAAGGCTCTGAATTGTCCAATTTCTCTTACTTTTATGATGAGAAGTCTGATAGTTTCTGAGATTCAGGTTTTCAAAACTTTGCAGTGTGAATGAATGTCTGTTGTATGACCAGTTGGTAAAGTCTATAATAGCAAACCAGTCAAGTTTGCAGGAAAAAATGGCCTCTTAAATGTGTAGTGAGGCATTTGAATGCACAGCTATGGCTAGAGGAAAATGATAGTATATGTACCTTAGTTAATATTGCAGTAATACGTAGGTTTCCTGCCTCTCCAGATATTGGGGCAGTTCATGTTTTTCACCACTTGAGTACTGCTATGAAAGGTCTGAAAAATTAAATCTTTCAGTATTTGTGGACTCCTGTGCTGAGGACACAAAGGTAGGAATAAGCAAAAATGTCTTATGGTGTGTCGGTTAGGGGAAGCATATTTTCCTATAAATGAGGCTTGGAAAAAAAACCAGAAATCCTCTGTGTTTATATAATCTTGAACTCTAGTTAATACAGTAGTCTCAATTTCCCTAAATGGCTAAAGCCTTTCCTCCTTCTCTGATCTGACTCTACTACTGTGCTGATAGATGCTGCAGAGAAACCCAAAGCTCTGGCATTTTCTGAAATTGTATGTGTTTGTGGCTCGTCATCATGTTCCTCTGTCAGAGGAAGGTGGCAACTGCAGCTCCTTTAGTTCACAGAATCAGCAGCTCAACGTATGTTTTGTACTCCCCAGGTCGTTTTGACAGAGAGGTAGATATCGGTATCCCAGATGCCACCGGGCGCCTGGAGATCCTGCAGATCCACACAAAAAATATGAAACTGGCTGATGATGTGGATCTGGAACAGGTGAGTAGCATGCTATTAGGAAAGCTTGTCTCTGCAGGCATACATTCCTGATGCTCTGTTTTGTAGTGGAAGAGTTGTTATGGCTTGATTGTGTAAACGTAGTTGCTCATTTAGGACAGCATGAAACTGGGCGAATGTGTGATCTCTGGGCTTCCTTCTAACTAGTTTACCAGTGACCAAAAATCTTCACTCGCTAGTGAAGAATGGCATGGCTAAATGAAATAAATGTGTATCAGTCCAGTCTGGAAGTGCCTTGCCACTGTCCTCCTGGGTTTGTTTGCTGTGGCATTCTCTTTAAAAATAAAGCAAGCCTGAAACAGTGCTCACAGAGCTGGGTGAACATTGTGGTGATACTGGATGGTTACTGTAATCTCTGTCCTGAATGAAGAACTGCAGTCCTCAGAGTTATCTTTCTGCACACCATCTGAATTCCAGTTGCAGCTTTGAACTCAAGTAGGAGGTGGAACAGCAGTGTCTTTATCTGTTAAATATGTGATAGCACTCGTCTTGAATTTGCAGCAGAGCACTGATGTTCTTGTCCTGCAGAGTTTTGTTGCACCTCTGAGTGAGTGACCAGAGCATGCATTGCCCTTGCAGAGCGCTTGCTTGTATCCTTGAGTCATAGTCAGTGCTCTGCTTTCAGGTGGCAAACGAGACCCATGGCCATGTTGGTGCTGACTTGGCTGCTCTTTGCTCAGAAGCTGCTCTTCAGGCTATCAGAAAGAAGATGGATCTCATAGACCTAGAAGATGAAACCATTGATGCTGAAGTGATGAACTCACTGGCTGTGACCATGGATGACTTCAGGGTAATGCAGGAGTGTCCCTCTTTCTTTTGGGTGCAATGTCTAATTGCTTATCTGAAGCATGTGAACATAACATGTTAGAATTCATATAATGCTGTTTCTTCTAACGATAGTGGGCTCTGAGCCAGAGCAACCCTTCTGCTCTTCGGGAGACTGTGGTGGAGGTGCCACAAGTTACCTGGGAAGATATTGGTGGTCTAGAAGATGTAAAGAGAGAACTCCAGGAGCTTGTACAGGTAAGTGTTTCTGACAGATTTTTGCCTAGTCAGCGAATTTTTATGGTATTTTCTTGCAATGGACTGAAAATACCATGCTGTTCCATCTTAGTGAACTTAGGGAGAGGAAGATGCTGGGAAGCAGCATCAGGCTTTCCTTAGCTGAGTCTACAGTGACATCTTGGGTGAGTGTTTTGCTACATACAGAAACAGCAGCAGTTCTGCTTCTCTTAAGTGGAGACCAGCAGTGGGATCACTGCTGAGAATCCTGTTACGTGGTGGCTTTATATGACAGAAAATGGATGAAGATTCTCATACAGAGAGCTTCTGAAGCATTAGCATAGGGATAGGTGAGAAGTAATTGTGAAGCCTTCTATGAAAGGAGAGGCTGGAACAAAGTCATGAATGGTCTCTGGAAACTTCTGGTGCCTGCCTGCGTTGGGGTGGTTTGGGTTTGATATGTCCCTGCTTTCAGTTGGCGCTGTAGAAACAGCTTGTCTGTGAATAAAAGAATCTACTTTTCAGTCTAATTTTCTGGTGTTAAAATCATCACCTATGACCTTGTTGCGGAGGATAAATGCTCACATCAGACATCTTGCCTGTCTCTGGAGGGCAGAGCAAATAGGTTAGATAATGAGCTGTTCCCTTTTGCTTCTGCAGGGCAGAGTGAAGCTGGGGTTAAGTGTGCTGGAAAACTACCTGAACTGGTACTTAGTTCATAGGTAGAAATAGACTGTTTAAGGCAGCTTTACAATTTAGCTGTGGTGCTTTTCAAACCAGCACCCATTTAAAAACTCCAGTGGCACCAAGCAGGCAGAATCTTGTGTTTAACCCACCAGAAATTTCAGGTAGTGTTTCTGGTAGGAGCAGAAACAAAACTGATCTAGTGAAAGATGTCCCTGTCCATGGCAGGGAGGGTGGATTAGATGATCTTTGAAGGTCCCTTCCAACCCAAACCATTCTGTGATTCTAAGGTACAGACCTGTTCTGGGTCATCACGAGAGGTTTTTGTTTGTTTTGTTCTCCTTCAGTATCCTGTGGAACACCCAGACAAGTTCCTCAAATTTGGCATGACCCCATCGAAAGGGGTTCTGTTCTATGGGCCACCCGGTTGTGGTAAGACACTGCTGGCCAAAGCCATTGCCAATGAATGCCAGGCAAACTTCATTTCCATTAAGGGGCCAGAATTGCTCACCATGTGGTTTGGTGAGTCTGAAGCTAACGTGCGTGAGATCTTTGACAAGGTAAGTGTATCTTCTTCTCCTTGTGCTATGTTTGTGCTGAGATAACCCCAAAACATTGTCTTCACTGCACTTGTCTTACTGGCCTGGTTCTTGTTTGTGTGTTTTGTGTTTTCCCCACTTGCACTGAGAGCAGAGGCTGCTTTCCTGATGTTAGGGAATTAATTCTCTTTGGCAACATAGCTATTTAAATGGTTTTCTCCTGCTGCAATTTGTATCTGTTGTTACAGGATGATAAATGCCCCAGTGTCTTAGCAGTGAGGCTAGCATTAGGATGGCATAGATATTCTCTGCATCCCTGAAAAAATTTACTTTGATACCTCATTAGCCATCACCTTCTACAGATTTTCAAAACATGCTACAGATTCTTCTTCTGCAGTTGGACTAGATGATCATTGTAGGTCCCTTCCAACTGAAATATTCTATTCTATTCTATTCTATTCTATTCTATTCTATTCTTGTCCTGCAATATATATGGCTTAGAAAGGAGCTCACTCCTACTACCTAGTTCCCCTGTAGATAGCGTGACCTCCTGGGACAGGAGGTATCTGCATGGATTATCTTGGGAATCCTCACTCCTGTGGTCAGGGAAGGTTCTGAAAGAGCAAAGTTGGAAGGAGAGTGAGAGAGAAAAATTTAGGTTGAGAGGGAACCTCAGAGGCCAGCTGTTTGTCCAGAGCAGGGAGATAACTTAGAAATTCAACCAGGTTGCTCAGGGCCTCGTGTTCTGAACATGTGCTAAGGATGGAGAATACCTGACCTCTCTGGGCCTTGTGCTAGTGTTTGAGCTCTCTCATTGTGAAGAAATATTTTTTTTCCTTATTTCTAACTGGAATTTTCTTTGCAGCCATTTGTGCCTGTGGTCTTTCATCCTTTTCCCTATAACTACCCATTAGGTAGCTGAAGACAGTGATTGGATTTCTCCCTTCCATTTGATATATCTTGCCTACTGATACTTGAGTGCCTAAATAACCAATTGACATCCCCAGATCTTGCAGGGAGAGTTCTGGTCCAGGCAAATTGGCTCCAGCTTTTCCTCTAGGCACTGGAGTTACCACCCTTCTGCTTGGTTCACAGTGCTAGCTTTGGGGAAATTCAGCTTGTTGTTCAGGAGAATTTAATTGAGGGTTTGTGTGGTAGGAGACTGTTCCGGAGCAGCTCCTCCAAGCTCTCCTTGCAGCAGCAGTGCTCTGGTACTCCTCTGAGCTGCTTTAATTGTAGGGTAGGCTTAGTGTGAAATTGGCGTGCTCCTTGCCTGGTGGTATTAACATGGAGTAATCATTCCCATTTGCTTTTTGCAGGCCCGCCAAGCAGCCCCTTGCGTGCTCTTCTTTGATGAGCTGGACTCCATTGCAAAGGCTCGAGGTGGGAATATCGGCGATGGTGGTGGTGCTGCAGACCGTGTCATCAACCAGATCCTGACAGAGATGGATGGCATGTCCACCAAGAAAAACGTCTTCATCATCGGTGCCACCAACAGGCCAGACATCATTGACCCAGCCATCTTGCGCCCCGGCCGCCTGGATCAACTCATCTACATCCCCCTGCCTGACGAGAAGTCCCGGGTTGCTATTCTTAAGGCCAACCTGAGGAAATCACCAGTTGCCAAGGTAGGATCTGCACCCTGACTGTGTCTGACTTGGGTTTGCTGTGTGCTGCATGTGCTCCTCACAAGCTGGGGATAGAGCAGAGGGCTGGTGACTGCTCCATGCAGTACAGAGCTGGGAAACCTTCAGTCCCTGAAGGATGGAAATGAAGAGGTAGGGGGAGGCTTGAGACTAAGTATCAACGAAGCTAGGTGTTGGTGTGTAAGCATAGCAGGTCTTTATCACATAGTGGAGTTCTGCCCACTGTGTGAGAACAGGAAAGCCTGTTATGGCAAGATGGAAAAGATTCTTGTACTCTGAAAGAAAAGTAAATGTAGAAAACAGGGGTGGGAAATGGAAACTGAAGAGGAACTACTGCAGTTAATTGTTGCTGAACTCTATCATAGGCAAGAGCTATGCCCCTTGCTTGGGGAGCAGGCAATAATGCAACTGATAGTTAATCAGAGAAAAGCAGATGTCAAGTGAGAGCTCAAGCTATTTTATGCCAAGCTTACCTTTTTAGGTGCTGTTGGGAAGGAAAGCTTCAAAGGAGGTTGCAGTACTGCTCCCTCAGTTGAGGGGGAGGAGGAGGAGGAGGTTGGTTGTCTTGGTCTGCCTGTGCCCCATCTCCATTTCCAGTCTGACAGTGTTTCATTTGACTCCTAATGCTGAGACCTGAGCAAAACATATCCTAAATCTACAAGTCAACCTGCCTCTTCTTGAGGGTGAACAGTGCAGAGGCATTCTCCCCCTCTGTTCCGCTCTCGTGAGGCCCCACCTGGAGTACTGTGTTTAGCTCTGGGGCCTCCAGCATAAGACAGACGTGGACCTGTTGGAGTGGGTCCAGAGGAGGGCCATGAAGATGATCGGGGGCTGGAGCACCTCTCCTATGAGGACAGGCTGAGAGAGCTGGGGTTGTTCAGCCTGGAGAAGAGAAGGCTCCAGGGAGACCTTATTGCAGCCTTCCAGTACCTGAAGGGGGCCTACAAGAAAGATGGGGAGGGACTCTTTATCAGGGAGTGTAGTGATAGGACAAGGGATAACGGTTTTAGACTGAAAGAGGGTAGATTTAGATTAGCTATTAGGAAGAAATTCTTTATGATGAGGGTGGTGAGACACTGGAACAGAGAAGTTGTGGATGCCTCCTCACTGGAAGTGTTCAAGGCCAGGTTGGATGGGGCTTTGAGCAACCTGATCCCTGCCTGTGGCAGGGGGGTTGGAACTAGATGATCTTTAAGGTCCCTTCCAACCCAAACCATTCTATGATTTACAGCTGCTTTGCAGGGTCTTGCTGGGTGTGTGGGGAGTGTGGCCTGCCTTTGTATGTGGTTAACTTTTCCCAAAAACAAGAACCTTAACAGCTAATCTTTTCAAAATTGGCCAAAGTTAAGGCAGCATCTTGATACCATGGGATCTAAAGATACATCTTTGTCACCTGAGGGTGTAAGGTGTAAAGGACAGGCCTCTCTTGGTTGGTTGGTTGGTTGGTTTGTTTGTTTGTTTTTCACTAGGATGTCGACCTGGATTTCCTAGCTAAGATGACCAATGGCTTTTCGGGGGCTGACCTGACAGAAATTTGCCAGCGTGCCTGCAAACTGGCCATCCGCGAGTCCATCGAGAGTGAGATCAGGCGAGAGCGTGAGAGGCAGACCAACCCTTCCGCCATGGTGAGTGGGGCGTGCTCAGCTTTCCCCGCTCGTGAGACGGGCAGCCCGCCTCTGCGTCCGGGCGAGGTGCGATGCCTTCCTCTCCCTCATCCTCGGCTGGGGATGAGGCTCACCCGGGCCCTCCCTCCCGCCACTATGGTGAGTGGGGCACTCTGAGCTTTCCCCGCTTGTGAGATGGGCAGCCCACCTCCGCCCATGGGTGAGGCGGGATGCGTTCCTCTCCATAATCCTTGGATGGGGATGAGTGGGCTCTCAGCACAGAGCGTGGAGCTGGAGCACTTTGTTCTCATCTTGTGGGAGGCCGAGGCCCTCCTGGGGTGCCTCATTGTCAGCATTGCTCAGAAGGCCCCTGCTGCAGCTGTAACTCACAGTCTGTCACAGTGTCCCTCTCCAGCCCCTACTTTGGCAGGCATTGGAGCATCCTGGCCTAGAGGGAGGCCATGAGCAGCTGTCAGGCCGTGGAGCTTGGGCACACAGCTCACCTGGGCCCTCTGTCCTGCTGCAGGAAGTGGAGGAGGACGACCCAGTTCCCGAGATACGCAGGGATCACTTTGAGGAGGCCATGCGCTTTGCTCGACGCTCTGTCAGTGACAATGACATCAGGAAATACGAGATGTTTGCACAGACTCTACAGCAGAGCCGTGGCTTTGGCAGCTTCAGGTAACTGTGGGGGAGTGGGGGGAGGGCAGTATGGCTCAGCCAGCCCCAGAACAGATCACCGAGGCAGCTTTCTGCTGGATTCTGGGTAACAAATTCCTTCTTCCACCACATTTTCCCATTCTCCCCAGTGTGTATAGCAGCCAGCTGAGCATGTGGCGGGTGTAGGCTGTGCTGCAGGTCAGTTGTAGCTGCTCTGTTAGTGCTCCTGAATTCCATCAACCCTTTTTTCCTTTAACACAGGTGCCATCCAGCAGTTGTATAAGCCTTTTGCATGACCTGCTGTAAGGCTTCATCCCATTTCTCCTGTGTGTCCTACTTGGCACCAGGGTGTTGGTGTGGAGGGAGGGGATCATGCTGAGCTGTGAGGAGGCATTTGAACAGCATCTCTTCTCTCCCCTTCTGCACCACTGCATGCAGGTTCCCATCGGGTAACCAGAGCGGCGCCAGTCCGAGTCAAGGCACAGGAGGTGGCAGCGGGGGCAATGTGTACAGCGAAGACAATGACGATGATCTCTATGGTTAACTCACTGTCCTCTGTGGACCAAACTCCAAATCAGGCCACATTGTACAGGGAAAAATCCAATGTTCAGTGGCCTCTCAGCTTTATTCCTCAGTCAGAACAGTGTAGCTGCACATCAGACTTTGTACAGAGAATGTTTTCTGCAAACACAAATCCAGACCGCTGTTCAGTTGAGAGGCAGACCGTGAATTAACAAGGAGGGGAACTGACTTAATTTCTGAGAAATTTCTGTTCTAGTTTATGTGGCAGAATCAGCAGCTTTAGCAAAGAGTACAATGCTAGCCTGTATAAAAAATATCCCACAAAAATAATAAAAAAAAATTAATAAAAATCCCACAAAACTCTAGCCAGGCCCTGGCAATTCCTTTGTGTGTGACTGGTGCAGCGTAGCTTGTGCTGTCTCTGTAACCCCTGTGTCTCACATGCTATCTTGAGCACTCAGTCTGGTGGAGCCCATCTGTATGCATGCTTCCCTGGTCTGTTCGAGGTTGCTCTTCGTTCCTATGCCTCTTAGCCCAAGTTAACAGCAGAAATTGTTTTGGCAGTCTCTCTCCCCTGCCCTAGTTTGGCAGGAAGCACCAAGTAAGAGAGCCTAGTAGCAGGTATCTCTTACTTCTCCCATGCTGGCCCTGAGCTGTCGGGTCTCCTCCTGCTTTGGCTCCTCTGCAGCAAAGGACTTCTCCAGTAATCCCTGTTTCATCTGCCCTGCCTGAAGGCAGGCACAAGGGGGCTCTTGGGCTGTCTCTGGAGTTTGTGGTACGGTGTGACCCCACTATAATTAGGGGAGAGGGGAGCTTCCTCTTCTGGTGCTGCAGCAGCACTGTTCATCAGGCTCTGTGGAGAGATTTTCCCCTTCCCCTGCAATGTTTCATGCATCCCTTTAGGTTTCTGACAACAGGCTTGGCTCTGCTGCCAGCCTGCCCCTTGTTGTGCCTCATACTCAGTAGTTGGGTTCTGATCATGGTTCTTATCCTTCCTTTCCACTTACAGGTTGCTGCCTTGCTCCTTGGTTTATTTTCCCTTCTCTGAACTGAAAAATATGCTACTGCTGTACTTCAGTGTTTTATATGAGAGAAGCCCTGGGTCTGGTTCTTCATGCACACAGGAGCGGTGTGTCAGGCTGGATACGGCCCAGCCCTGAACTGAAGGGGAGAGCCTGTTTGAGGCAATGGCCATAGAATGCACAGAGTGGCCACATGCTATTGGCTTTTAGGGGAGGGTGCAGGAACTAAGGATTTCTGCAAAGAAAGAGGCTTAAATGTAGATTGTGTGGCACAAGGGTGCCCCAGGCCTTTGGGGCTGAGCCATGCTGGAGAGGGCAACCTCTGCTGCGGCAGTTGTGCGAGGCCTGGGTGGTGGGAGTTTCAGCCCCAAAGCCTGGTAGATCTAGGAGGGATCCATCAACCTGGCTAGATTTAAGGGGAGAGGAGAGACAGGTGAGGTGAGTCTCATCTCAAAATGGCAGAAGGTGGGACTATCCATGAGAGGGGGGCTTGTGCATAGCAATGGGGAGAAAAACACTGAAATTAGGAGCACTGTGTTTAAATAGCACAACCTCCTGCTGTCGTGGGAGGCCATATAAGCCCCTGGGGAGGGTGGGTAGCACCTGCTCAGGTGCTCTGTCCTACTTCAGAGCCATCTGCCTGCCAGCACTGCTCTTGCCCTGTCCTTGTGCCACCTCTGTTCTGTGCTGCAGAGAAAACGCTGGCCATTGTCTCCTCCTATGGCAGCAGGGTGGAGGATGGCCTGTCCCTCTTGTAGGCAGACTTCCAGGGTGACACTTCCCCAGCCTGACACCAGCCCTTTTTGGGGATAACCGGCAACTGGAAACCTTTTACTCCAGGGCTGCTTCCCTGCCTGCACTTCTCCCTGCTGCTCTGTGCTCCTCCAAGCAGGGTGGATGCAGATGCTGGCTTTGCTTTCATCATGTCTTACCTGTTCATCAGTGCAATCCTGAGAGGCAGCTCCAGCCAGCGAGGAAACCAGGAACCAGCTACTTTCAGCCACCTAGGAAGGTTCTGCACCCATGCTGGGAGCTCTCCAGTACTCCTAAAAGTCTTCCCTAGCTCTGGATTTCTTCCTCCTGGCCAGTTTGGGGCTGTGACCACTCAGCAAGCCCCCAGCGCATCCACCCTGGTGTCTCTGTGTGCTGTGGAGGCTGGGGCAAGCAGGGAAGGGGATGGTAGGGTGTGTGTGTCCCAGCAGCCCGAAGTCTTCCCTGCCACCTCTCCTAATTGCAAATGCTAATTAAATCCATCACGAGGGCTGGAAACCCTCATCTCTTTTCCCTGCTGCCTCTGGGATGTGGCTCCTCATGGGGACAGCACCCACGGGAGTGCTGAGAGCATTGGCCCTGTGCTGGAGCTGTGTAAACCTGCTGGGGGGGGGGGCTGAGGGTATCCCCCAAATCAGCACCTGAAGCAGCTTGGCTGGGCCCCTTCCACCCCCATGAACCTCCACCCCCAGCAGCCCCAGGAGAGCAGGCACCACCAGGGACTGGGTTTGGCCTCCGCCCTTTTCCAGGGGCTGCCCCTGCAGCAGAGACCTCTGGTAGCTGCATGGGCAAGAGCCTTCCTGCAGTACACTCCTCCCCTGTCCAGCACCTTGCTGGGGGGACTGGGCAGCTCTAAAGGTGCTGGTGGGAGGAAGGTGCTGTCAGCTAGGGTTTGCCCTGGATGGAGCAGGATTAGCGAGGTGGGCAGCGCTTTCATCGCTGCCATGGTTGGGATCTCCTTCTGCCCCCCATGTGGCCCCAGAGCCATGTCCCCCCAGCCCTACAGCCAGGCCCCACAGAGGACCGTGTGCAGCCTAGCCATGGCATTGGCGTTAGAGGCTGGTCCCTGACCCAAGAGATTGGGGCCCTGCAGCACCCCAAACCTCTCTGGGCAGAGGGCAGGCAGTAGCCATGCTCAGTATGTCCCCTATCCCAGCCTAGGCCATCCTATGGGCATCCCTGCTCCATGGGTATCCCTGACCCCAGGAGCATCCCTGTTCCAAGGGCATTCCCTCCCCATGGCCAGCCCCTGCCCTATGGGCATCCCTGGCAGCGTCAGCCCCCATGGCTGGGGGGCTGTGCTGGCTCTGCCCCCTAGTCTGCCCAGCCCATTAGCTCCTCCCAGCCCTGTCTGCTGTATGGGCTTCAGGGTTAGCTTGTTGCAGGGTGATTTCATAGCTCTGAGCTCTCGCCTGGGAGGGGGACAGTGAGCCATGTTCCCCATTTGGGGTTTGGTAGCCTCTGCCCAGGCCCCTCCAAAGGCACATCACCTCACCTGCCCTTGAGGCTGCTCCTGCTCGGTGCCCTGTGGGCAAACATTTTTCCTGGTATCAGTGGGAATGTCTCTGGGTGCAACATGTGCCACTGCCTCTTGCCCAGCCCCAGGGCCCCTCTGAGAAGAGCTGGGCACCAGCATCAGTTGCTTCTCCCAACAAGTGATCCTTAATGATTCTATGATTATATGATCTCTCCAGCCCCCTCAGGCAGCCTCTGCCAGCAAGGGCCCACCCCCTTCACTGTCCCATTCCCCAGCTGCACCACCCCACCACTGACAGACCCTCCTCAGCCAGCCCACACTCCTGCTGCTTGTCAGTCATTTCCTGGGAGCCCCAAGGGGATGCAGAGCCCTGACCATGTTTCCCCCAGTGCCGGTGGGGGCTGAGCCTCTTCCCTGGCCCTGCTGCCTGCACCCAGGCCAGGGCAAGCACAGCCCCAACATCTTCCATCACAACACATCCCAAGGAGGTATATTTTTTAAAATACTTTATTTTTTTTCTCTCAATACTGGCATTACAAAAAAAAAAATTACAAAAAAAACCCACTATAAAACATTCAGGTCTCATTGAAACTGAGAAAAACAAAGCAACTTGCATCTGCACATTGACCTGTCTTCTTGCTCCAGCAGTGTCCACCAGATTTCTCTATGACAAACTCCACAGGGACCAGTGGTGGGAACCAGTGGCATACCCTCACCAGTCAAACCGGGTGATAAATTAAGCAGTGCCTAATGGGTGTCCTTGCCCTATGCCGGAGCCATGGCACCAGCCAGCCTCCCTGCCATGTATGATACAATGTACAGCTGTACACTTAGCCCCAATGGACACCTCACACTCACACACATTCCCCCCCCCCAAAAAAGACCCCCTGTTTAAAGTAAAAGTCAGTCAGTCAGTGATACCTCTTTTTAAAAAAGGATTCTCGGTTGGGGGGGGACTATTTTGGCAGAGGTTTTTCTCAGTGGTGCAGTAGTGGAAGAGGAGATGTACAAAGCCAGGTCAAATGCGCCTCCCACTCCATAGGAGCCCTTCCTGGGGGAAAAAACTGGCATGAGGCAGAGTGGGCCAAGAAAGGTAAGAAAGAACAATAAAAAGTCTCCTGATGGAAATCCAAAGGTTTTTAAAAAATACAGCATTTAAAAACAAAGCCAGCTTGCCTCATGCACCTCCCAGCTCCACCCTAACACCCAGAAATACCTCCTGAATGAATTGTCCCTGTAGAAAAATATATACACGTGCATGTCTCGTCCTAGTAAAATCCTGAAGGTTGAATGTAAATGTTAGTGAAAACCACAGCTCTGCTCATGCTTGGCTCTGCTTTTGCACCCAGGCTTGTGGTACGTACATACGCGCGTGCACACATACACACATAGCACCCCACTCTAGGAACCCCAAAACAGGCAGAGAGAAACCCTTATGGAGTTTATCTAACGAGCTCTCTATATATGTGTATTAAAAAAAAAAAAAAAAAAACAACACACAACAAACAGCAATGCAAACTCAACACATTTAAACAAGAAAGCTCCACCCTGGGCTTTCCCCCCCCTCCTCCTGCTGGATGGGGCTCTGCAAGCAGCAGGTGCAAGCAGGTGCTCCCCAGCTGCCCATAGGCACCAAGGACAGCCCCAGCCCTGGTCAGGTGCAGGAGGCTGGACTGGACCATCCCCAAGTGCTCTGCTCTCCATTGGTTGGCACAGCTAAGGCTCAGTTGTAGTCTTGGCACAGGAGAGCGGCCTGTGGTTGGACTAGGTACTGTGGTCCCAGGTTAGAAACAGTCCGGCTCCGGGGGGGCCACTGCGGGCAGGAGTGATCCCTCTGCCCTATGTCTCCTTGGCACCATAGTACAGCTGGGACCCCTAACAGCAGCAAGTATCAAAGAGGGGAAGGGAAAACTAACAGTGGGGATATGAGATCCTGCCAAGTTCTATTTACACTGCACTGAACCCTGACAAGTCCAGGAAAAGTGGCCTGAAAAGCAGGTGACACAAAAATCCAGAATGTGATGCACCTCCCCGGGCAAAGGGCCCATGCTGCTTGCTTGTGCAAGGCAGAAAAGCTGGACCTCAGGGGAAAAAA